TTCAATTCTAAAACTTCCTTTATCAATGAAGAGCAGAGGCCCAGAAAAATGAAACTATTTCATTTCAAACAGACAATTCTTACATGTTGCATATAGTTGCAGAAGACTATGCTAAGAAGTAACACACACACACACACACACACACACACACACACACACACACACGTTATTTTTAACAATGAGGATACATTCTTCCCAGGATCTCCTTCTGATGGGTCATTCTTCAATCCAAATCAGGCTTTGTAAGTTCTGATGATCCAGTTTTTAGCTGTTCCACCTAGGCAGTGACCATCACATTTTTCATCCAAGCCAGGGCAACTATGCAAGTATACTGGAATAGTGGTCAATAAGTATCCTGAAACAACATATGTAAAATAGGACTGACCTGAGCAAGCCAGGATGAATGGTCACATTATCACTGAGTCAAAATATACAGGAAAATATTTTCATGACTTAGTAACCAGTGATTTATATCTACTTCTCAAGGGTGGGACTTGGTGGAATCACACTCTCTTGGGTTCATGGGTGCCATTCTTCATAGCTCATGCAGTATGATATAGAATTTGTTCATTTCTAACCCAAATGTTTACTAATCAGATGTACCCAGAGAAGGGGTTCAAAAAACTAGGCATGACTTTGTCACAATAATAATAATAATAATAATAATAATAATAATAATAATACCTCTATTTAGGACATGTAGAATGTGGTGTGTTATCTTTGGGATGGACAGATGTTTGCAAAATATCTTACGACCACATACAATGTATCATTCATCAGTCCCTGTTCTAAATGACAGTCATAGCACCAACCATCATGGTTCACTCTGTCCTCTCCAATATGCAAAAGCAACACAAACATATAGCAACAGTTTGTTAACCCCTTTGAAAACTGGTACATGGATAACATTAATTTGCTCATCTAATCAAAAGGGAAATCACAAACACCAAGAAACCACAGTGTCCCATACTATTGCTTTACCACTGGGACTTTTAGGAATTCAAAGGCAAAGCAAATCAGATTTCCTGAGATTCACAAAGTCAAATTTTGTCTGGGTTCTTATCTCTCGGGGAATGGATAGGTACAGACACTGAGCCATCACTCAAGCACATTGGACTAAACCAAACAAATGCACTGACACATTTTCTCATGTTAAGCTAAATGCATAAGGACCTGCTGATTGACCAGTAAATCACAATCCAAACTATATAGAATAGAATCAGAATATGCTCACCCTCTTGTCATCTTGAAACCGGTGTTCTCCAGAAGAGGGGCACCCATTGATATTACCTTGGTCATGGGTTTTCTTTTTACCTTTCTCATTTTCTGTTATTTATCTACTGAGAACTAATTCTGGGTACATATACTTAAAAATTTAAGTGAGACACTCTTCTCATTATATGAAGGCTGGGTGACTTTTCAATAATGAACCAGGAGTCTCTGGTTTCACTACAGCTAGAGTACATATTCCTATTCTTCCTGAAAAAGTAGTGCCATTATTCTTGTACAGTTTCCCCTTGATGATCAGATGTGCATGCAAAGCTCAGCACCTGTCGAGGAGATTTATATTATTTCCAATCTCAAGCTCAACTCCTAAGACTGTAGGTAGAAGTTTTCCTGTGTCCCGCCCGATCCTGCAGCCGCTCAGACCCAAGTAAACACACAGAGGCTTATATCAATTATGAACTGGATGGCCTATGGCTCAAGCTTCTTGCTAGTTAGCTCTTACATCTTAAATTAACTCACTTCTATTAATCTATAAGTTGCCACATGGCTTACCAACATTTTCACATCTTATTTATCCTGCCAGCAGTGCCTCCTTCCTCCCCTTTCTCCTCCCACTATCTCTCTTGGAATTTCCTTTCTGACTCAAACCTGCCCTGCCATAGGCCAATGTAGCTTTATTTATCAACCAAGCAGAGCAACACATTTTCACAGCATACACAAAGACATCCCATATCACTTCCTGACTTCACAAGACTCACACTTCAAGACACTATTTGTACTTTAAAAAGTCATCTAATTGCAAAGGTAGCAGAATTAAAAAACAATTAGGATTAACTAAATAGCACAATGAATGCACTTACTTTAATATTCAGTCTGGAAAAATTTAATGTCCAAACTTAAGAGCCTAGCTACATTATTAGTGATGATTGAGGTATGCAAAATTAAGAAAACATGTAAAGATTAAGAAACTAACCTAACTTAACTATAAATAGACAAGTTGGAACTCCTGCCTTGACTATTGCTTATTCAGTAGATGGTATTTGAGTGTAGCACCTAGTACATCACAACCTAGGAAGATGCAAAAGCAAAGCACCAGGATTGATGTTCTACATGATGATTCAGTCAAAGACGGAATGAAATCCAAAAATATAAAATACAAATACAACAGCATAAGCCTAGAGCATTACCAGAAAGCCATGCTACAGGTACAAGCATGAATGGGGAAACTGAGGACTTAAATGAAAGAAGAGCTTATTATTAAAACAAAAGAGAAAAGAAACATTAGCTCAAGCATGGGAAATTAATTTATAGAATGATGAATAGACCACAGTGATGAAAGTCTGGGTAGATGGAGCTTGAAAAGTGAGTTAAATGGTAATCACATGTACCAGGTGCTTTTGTGGAGCTTCTTAGTGATTACAAGAGCCTCTTTATCTTTAAAGTAATCAGCCAATCATATCAGAGTCAGGTGGACAGCCATGTATTGGACACACACACACACACACACACACACACACACACACACACACACACACTGAGAGAGAGAAAGAGAGAGAGAATTATTATGTATAGCTTCAGTAATGACTACCACTACTTTTATGTTATTCATGTAAGGATAAGAAAAATGTAGATGCCATTAGGGTTTCTTTTCCTATTTAAGTTGGAATGCTCCCTTTAAAACCATCTACAAAGGATTTAGCAGTATGTTCAGCCAACATTTCCTGAAACATTTCTCTTGCCTCACTGCTTTAAATATGGAATCTAGGGAGAAATTCCTCAGGAAGAAGGGAAGGTCAAGTCTTTGTGTTTTGTGTTTTCACTTGGAGATGAGAGCCAGTCTAAGTGTTCTTTTCCTAGCTCAGCATTCTTCTCTGCTTGTGCGTTGGGAACCACCTGAAGACAGAGCTGCTCACTTTATCTCAGTAGCCCCAGCATCTATCACAGTTCCACAGTCTTGATGAACTATGGTTGACTCTGAATCAGTGGCTGGGTTAAAGCGAATAAAGAAGGAACTCCTTGCCCTTCCTTAGTTATTTGTAGTGCAGCATCGTATTAAAGTATAAAGTAAAAAGTACATAGAATTAATAATTTCATTTATCTCGAATATTCACTCTATTATATTTTACAGACTCTTTGATATAGACTATTATAAACACCCTGTGCACCCCCAGATGATTTTCATATCCCTCCCTGGCTGTTGAATATAATGAATCAATTCTGTCCAAGTCTCTTAGAGTGGCAGTACTTGAAATTACAAACATTAAATAAATGGTTTTAAAAGTACCTTACTATGTATGTATGTGGTTAAACTTTTCTGTTACAGGTTTAGAGACCCTGAAATTCTCATGGAAAAAAAAATGAATGAGACTTTCAGCACAATAAAAATATTGTACTAAAATATTATTTTTTAGAATATGGAAAGATAGACTGAAATAATAATAAATGAGTGCATTTGTATACTTCGCCATAAAAAAAAAAGTTCTTTGAAGTCTAAATAAATGGCCTTCATTTAGTGGCACACATTTGTGTTAGCCAGTAGTGTGCTGTGTCAAAGGAGAGGCTTGCAACAGAAGGCTGCCTTGAAGCTTCTAAACTCACACACTAGCAAAGTAACGTTCTTGGAGGAAGTGAACATCTGCTCATATGGGCGATTTGTTCCTTTATTGAACTAATACAATTGAAAAGCTAATTTATAAATAAAATAGAGGGCGATAAAAAGAACGTTAAAAATATTACCTTTCAAGTCTTACACCATGATTAGAGAATCTTTTTGGTGATTAGACCTGGCCAAACGTATTTGAAATACTAACAGCATAAATCATTGGAAGAAGTTTCCTCATAGACTATCAGAAGTGCAGTCCTATGTAGAGGACCTGCTATCTACATGGTTATGGTCATAGTTTATTCATTGATAAAAATTACACTTCTTAAACTATTTGATAGTCCTGGAGAAAGTGTATTCTCTCTCTCTCTCTCTCTCTCTCTCTCTCTCTCTCTCTCTCTCTCTCTCTCTCATGTTTACTTTTACTTTCTTTTTCTTTATATAACAGTGGAGTGATTAGTATGTATTTCATTCATCTCTTTTAGTGACATGTAAGAGAGAACCAAAATGTTTTTCTTCTAAATTTAGAAGATCTGAGATAATATGAAGATTATGTTTTCAAAGATAAAACTATAGAATTAACCAAACTAAAAGAAGCATACACCAAATTATTCCATTTAAAATTACCCTGTTTGTGTTAAGATCAAAATATGTACAACTATCCCATTATCTTGTCAAGATATTAGTCACCCTTGGGTGTACTTCTGGGACTAACCAGAGAATGGTGAGGGAAACTACAGGGACAGGAGTAACTATGTTTCTGGTTATAAAACCTGGTCACTTTGAATGGGTTACTTGTGAATAGGTTTTTTTTTTTTTTTTTTTTGGTGTTTGTTTTGTGTGTATATTTTACACTTTAATTTAAAGATAATGCATGATTAAATGTAAAAATTGGGGAAAGAAGAATGAAAAACACTCAAATGTCATTGTCCTAATCTAGTAATAGCTAAAGGGTCCCATACAATCCACACACCACTTTATCTGCATTGCCTGGAGCCTGGAGCCCATTCAGCCCCAGAGCCAGTATTGAGCTTAGACATGTGATCTTCTGGCCCCAAATCTTGTGGGAATCACCTATTTTGCTTTGTTTTCAACTATAAGCTGTGATGCAGCCTGCTGACTTGAAGCCTGCCACCTTCCTTGGAGATCTAACACTCCTCCCCTGTTGCAGGTGAGCTGTGTGAGGAAAAGCTGGACTTCTGTGCCCAGGACCTGAATCCCTGCCAGCATGAATCCAAGTGCATCCTGACACCAAAGGGATTCAAGTAAGTCTCAGGCCATGTCGGAATCTCAGTGAGGTGGGGGGTTTCTTTGAGGAACCTGTCTCCTCTACCATCCATAGCTTCACACTTTTGCTGAAGATTAAAAATGGGTCACATATACCCTAGTGCTTGTGACAGGTTTGCAAATATTCTGGTGCACCGTGGACCTTTATTAGCACACTAGAAAATAACAACAACAGGGAAACCTTTGTTCACCACAATGTCTAGGAAGCCCTTTATGGAATGGAACAACCTTTGAAGAAGCTTCCTTACATTTATTTAAAGGCCAATGAAATTAAATTTCTAACATCCACCAGGTAAACTTATTTTAAAATTGAGAAATTGATTTTGATGTAACTGAAAAGTCTATGATCTAAAACAGTCAATTGACTGTCTGGGCTGGGGAAAACACCATGGCACTGTGGCCAGGTTACTCCAGACATTTCTGGCTTGTGTCTGTTGTCTTTCTGTAATTATTGATAAGGACTATTATTAACCTTGTTCTTGAGATCTAAGGCATCCCTTTCACCCTGTACAGAGAGCTCCCTCAAGTGAGCTAAAAAATTTATCAAAATCATTTCCCCCGTAGCAATATTTCTGAAATATGCTTGGTACCAAATTAGATGATAACTTTGCTACAACCTTGAAATACATTAAGTGTCTACCAGAAATTTTAGAGCTGGCAGTAACTTAAACATCATCTAGACTAAATTCTTCATTTTTTGAAGTATACTTTTATTTTTAATTAATTGATTTTTTTTACCCCAGTCTGATTACATCCCCCTCCCCTTTCCTCTCCTGCCAGTCCTGGCCAACAACATCCCCTTCCCCACATCCACTCCTCCTTCTTTGCTTCAGAAAAGGACAGGCCTCCCATGTATATCAGCCAGTCATGGCATACCAGGTTGTGGTAAGACAGGAGAGATGGCTCAGCTGTTAAAGACCTAACTCAGGACCAAAAATATGAATTCATAGTTTTAAACACAAGGAAATATGAGCCCAGAGAAGTCAGAGAGCTGTGCAAAGGCCACATGTTACTGATAGAGCTGAAACTGGACTTGATATTTTGCAGTTATGTGATTCACAGAAGCCATATTCCTACTAACAGGTTGTCTAGTTTATTAGCACCACAGTTGACTTGAAATCGAGGATAGACTAGATTTTGGGGGATGACACAGCTATAGTCAGTCGTTAAGCCATGCTTATGTAAGACAAGTGGCAAAGACCTCTTCTCCTTCATCAGCTGGTGTTTCTGCAGTATCTACTGTCAAAGGATAAACTGAATTGAATAATTATAGAATTTTCTTTTGACAATATTATCAGTCAATTTTACTTAAAATCTAAATTTTTAGAACACATGCATATACTTGTAACACATACTCATTACATTCATTACTGAGTCCATCTTTCATTATATTTTAATTTACAATTCTAGCCAAAAACTAAAAGTCTTGTTAATTTTTTTCAATTTTATATACAATGCTGCATTGCATTTTATTCCACAGAACTCTGTAGGTAAATTGCTTTAACTCCCAATGGCTTTGATCTGCTCACAGTTGAAGTTGGCAAGACAAAACTACATCACTTATGTGGAGCAAGCACCACCACTTTGCAGAGAATTAACAAGGATGGTTTCCTGGGACACCATATCTGATAAACAGATTTCACAGGACTTTGTGTAATTCTAAGACAAGTTATTAGTAAGACTTAATGGAAACCATTCTAAATGAGGAGAGCTTGTCTTAAACAAAGGACAGATTCTTAATTAAGCATGCTCTATTACTAGCAATTAGGTTGCACACTCTCAAGAGTCTTCCTTGCTGGAGTCTGGAAGGACTGATTTGAAAGCCCACTGCTTTCAGCAGTCAGTAATTCACGAGCTCATTTTATAGCTGTATGCAGTTGAGCTGAAAACAGGTTAAGTCAGAGTGTGAGCTATTACTCCCATCTTATAAATAATTGCACACTGTGGGAAGTATAGCTACAGAAAGAAAATGGTCTTGAAAACCGAACAAGGGAAGCCAGGAGAGAAAATCTTTACTGAGAAATGTTGTTTGGACAAGTTGTAAATGTTACTTCAATTGCATTTTCTTATTACTAAGCTAACAGAGCTGGTTTTACATTTCATGCTTTATTATACATTTCATAAATCTCCTGAATTGCTTTGAGATATTTTTAGAGCGTGATATGCCATAAGCAGTATTTTGAAGAATACATCTTTCTTAGTTAGCATTTAGAGTCCTAAACAGTGTATTTTATATTCTATATCTCCTCCCGTACCCCTCATCAGATAGTAGAATTGAAGAGATGTGATGGGCGTTGTTGGTAATAGAGATTTAGGGAATTCTTATTTAAATGTTCCTTCCTGCTTTAAAACAAGAGAAAGACAGAATAATCGGTCATGACAGAGCTGCTAGTTCTGAAGGGCTTAAAAATATTGTTTGGGAAAAAAGAGGGCATAAAATATCTCCTAGACAGCTACTGTGGTAAATGTATGGTTCTCTTATCTTTTCCTTTGATTTCTTTTCTCATATAAATAATTCAGAGCATTTCAAAGTGTGTCTTCTCTTTTTAATGCTCAGCACTTCGGTGGCACTGCCCACATTAACATTGATGGAAGTTCCCTTCCAGGGCCCCGTCCATCTATTTGAGAATGTGTATGACCACTTAGGGTCCATTTAGTTTCAGACTTGCTGTTTACTTCACTTTATGGTGATTTAGTATTAAAACCAGCCAGCTTCAGTGCAAACATGCTTACACAGTGAGTTCATTTTATTTCTAAACCATACATGCAACCTGAATGGCTCTCTTAGAAGAACTGTATTCCCGTTTGTTTAAATACATCAGCTCTCCAGTAAATAACCTGATTTTGCATCTTTAGATGATACCCTTGGCACTCAGTAATGCCACATTCAATCAGGTTTTTTTTTAAACTATCTTTATTCACTTAAACACTAAAATTTTTATAGAGCATTGCATTGTTAGTAGAGAATACATATAAAGGCTTTTCTAGAATTATCAAGACTCATAGTTAAGAAAATGTGAATCACTTATTGATCTTGAAGATACCTGAACAATATGCTAATGACTTTATACATAGCATTTTATTGACTATTTAACATGCTTGTAGAGTAGAAATTATTATGCCATGCCATAGGTGAGAGAGGGAGACTTAGACTCGTGTACCTTAGTTAAAATGATGTTTTACAGCATGTGAAATAAGCTTGATAAAGAAAGACAGATGATTCAAGATGTTATTTTCATTTGGAATTTTAAAAGTTGACTCATAGAACCGTAGTATAGTGATAATGCCACAATTTAGGTGTAATGAAAATGCACTTATGTTATTCCCCAATATTAAGATTCTGTAGGGAGGAAATGAGTGAGTTCTGAGACCTAATATAGAAGCAGTGACTATAGTTAACTGCTTCATATATTTGCTAAGAGATATGATCATAGTTATACTTGCCATTACAGTAAAAAACAAATAAATAAAAGTTAAGATAATTATGGGAGGTGCATTAGTTTCTCCTCCTGTTGATGTGACAAAACAACCTGACAAAAACAACTTAGAGGCGAAGGAGTTTACTTAGGCTCACAATTCAATGTACAGTTCATCATATCCAGGGGGTTAGGGTGGCAGGAGCTGGAAACAGCTGGATAAATCACATGGACAGGGCAGGGTGGTGGTGGCGCATGCCTTTAATTCCAGCACTCGGGAGGCAGAGGCAGGTGGAGCTCTGTGAGTTCAAGGCCAGCATGGGCTACAAGAGTGAGTTCCAGGATAGGCTTCAAAACTACATAGAGAAACCCTGTCTAGAAAAACAAAAACAAAAAAAATAAATAAATAAATAAATAAAAAATAAAAATCACATCGACAATCAGAAAGCAGAGACAAAAGGTGAATACAGATGTCTGGTCAATTCCCTCTCTTCATGTACAGTCAGGGATCCTAGGCAGGAAACAGCACTACCCACCAGGAGTGGGCCTTCTTATTTCATCCATGTACTATAGAGCCTCCCCATAAGCACGCCAAGAGGCCTATCTCCCACATGAAACCTGTCAAGCAGACAATACTAACCATCACAGTGAAGTGATGGATATTTAATTACTTTGATTGTGAGCATCATTGCACAATGTGTACATATATTAAAACATCATGTGGTAAATGTTGAAATACTTCATTAAGCAAGAAAATATAAATGTTGATTTGTTAGAGAAAAAGAAAATACACATTTAACAATGAAGCCAGAATGGAATACAATTCTCTGTGACTCCAAAGCCCAAATTCTGTGGATAAAAACATGGTTTCCTGTCATGTATATGTGTGTGTGGGGGGGGGGTAATGTAGGTGTATGTATATGTATACACACATAACATAGAAATGAACCCTCCTTTAAACTCAAAGGAAACACACTAATGGAAGCCCCGTTATCTAAACTGAATAAATCATAGCAGGAACATGTCGTGAGGAAAGAGTGGAGGGTGGAGAGGGCTATCACAAGGATTATCCCCATCTGTGGCCATACCTAGACAAGTTCCAATGTCCCTATATCTCCACAACACATATGAGAGTATGACGCTCATTATGAAATGCCTGAAAACCTAGACACTACTAATCCCTACATAGAATCTATTTCCTGTAGTTATTAAAGATAAAATACAGCTGGCAAAGTAGGTACAAGAAGAGACGAACAGTAATTAATAACAAAACTTTTAACAAAATACCATAATAAAAGTTATCTAGAGGTATTCTCTTGCTCTCAAGTATTATACTAGATACTACTCATCTTTCTTATGATATGTGAGATGATGCAGTTGCCTATAAGATGGGAGCAATAGAAATAATGACATTGAGTGCGACTACTACCTAAGGGTTTCCTGAACGTATATACTTCAACACTGTGAAAGTCGATGTGATTTCATTCCTACAGGGAAGGTAAGATATTCAGGGATATTCAGAATGCATAAGTGGATGATAAATATTCAGGACTGGACATTGTTGACAGTACAGAATCTGATGCTACTTGGTAGGATGTACAACATAACACATGCTGTTGTATTGTTGCTTGTACCTGGAATCTCAATGAAGAATTTACACCATGAGTAGCTATAACCATGATTAAGTGGGGACTACAGTAGTTTGTAAACCATTGTATGTGCCGTGTATGTGATTCCCTAGAGGGTCATGAATTCCTGATCCCTTACTGCCAGAGCTGATCGTCAAGGAGTTAAGTGTCATTCTTCTGACAGCTAGTGAGCAAGCCATGCTTCACAGTGTAGCCTGTGCTGTTATGTCGCCCTCTATTAATTATGTTTTCATGTTAAAAGGGTGTCATTTTTATCCAGATGAAATGCTGCTGTTTTCTGTGATCTTTTGGCTCAGTCCACAGTTTGAAATTGTATCTCCTTGTTGAAATAGGTGTGACTGCACTCCTGGATACATTGGTGAGCACTGTGACATTGACTTTGATGATTGCCAGGATAACAAGTGCAAAAATGGTGCTCACTGCACTGACGCAGTGAATGGTTATACATGCATCTGCCCTGAAGGCTACAGGTGAGGTCCTGATGGCACACGGGTATTTAGGGAAATATCTCCAGGTCCCTAGTACCTCTAATCTAATCTAATTTTTCTTCTTATTTCGTAGTGGCTTGTTCTGTGAGTTTTCTCCACCCATGGTCCTCCCTCGAACCAGCCCCTGTGATAATTTTGATTGTCAGAACGGAGCCCAGTGCATCATCAGGACCAATGAACCGATATGCCAGTGTTTGCCTGGCTACCTGGGAGAGAAGTGTGAAAAGTTGGTCAGTGTGAATTTTGTAAACAAACAGTCCTACCTGCAGATTCCTTCAGCCAAGGTTCGGCCTCAGACCAACATTTCACTTCAGGTGAGTGGTCCCCTCCAAGGAGCTGACCTGATTGGGGCTCACATTTAGCTGCCTGACATAGTAAAGGAAATCTTCCCTGTGTGAAAAGCTTCAGATTTTTTTCCTTTCAATAGCCAGAATGTTAATTCAATACAGGGTGTGGCGGGGGGGGGGGGGACTTGTCCAAGTGGCCACTTGATTTTACATTTTAAGTGAAGGTATTTTGCCCGTTAATTTGTACGGCTCTGCCCTTACTTCTCTGCTCACGGGAAAGACGTTTCCTAGGAAACTTGCTGCTGAGAAGCACACAGCTGAGACACAGCACCTTGACTTGGCTACCCCCTTGTCCAGAGTCTTGAGGAAAGGGCATAGAATTAACAGACATTTTTATGTCTTGCTACTAAGACAATTACCATTAGGCAAAACTTTCACACCCCTAAGGTGTACCTGGTACTAGGTTAGGGATAATAAATGTAGAGTATTGGGACATACTTGCTTAATCAGTAATCAAATTTATTTAGTATATTTTCAATTTAAATGTCTTTGATCCACTTCCTAGAGGCCTCCCCCTCCTTTTATTTTTGTGATCTGACACCAACAATAGTGGCGGGGCTTCTGAAATTATGAGGCAAGAACCCTGGAGGGAGACAATCTTCCTTTAAATATCTTTCTTCTCACCATCCACCTTCTAGTGCTTGCCACATTAAATAATAATGTGAAGTTCACCACTACTGGGACTTTTAAATTCCAACTTGCACTTAAATCCTTTGAAAGCCCCCAGAAGAAAAAAAAAAAGCAATATAAAACCAAATATATTCTATTTCTCCCTACACATGAGTGTAAATAATTTTGTATAGGTTTTGAGAATTCATTTTGATTAATATAGTCACATGTAGTATATGCCAGTAATAAAGCTTGGATTAGCAGCAAAAACAAACCAAAACTACAGATACATGAAAATTTCCAGCAAAGACAATTCTGACATGACATCTAAAAGGTTTCCTTGAATATTTGTGACTGTTTTTCTTAATTTAACTTGGATTTATTTACAACAGAACAATTCACAGACAAGTTGCCTTTAAGCAGTAATTTCAACCAGCATTATTTTCTCATAGCCACGAGACAAACCATAGTGAAAAGCCTTCATTCACTTAGCTGCCTGTTTCTTTGGATGAATACATTTGGTTGACTGTGCATCCTAACATCAGGGCTACCTCCTACTAGATTGCCACAGATGAAGACAGCGGCATCCTCCTGTATAAGGGTGACAAAGACCACATTGCTGTGGAACTCTATCGAGGGCGAGTTCGAGCCAGCTATGACACCGGCTCTCACCCGGCTTCGGCCATTTACAGGTGAAGATCTCTCAATTACTGGTAAAGGTGAAAAAACTTGTTCAATGAAGAACGGCTTCTCTTCTAAAAAATTCTACAATGGGAAGGGCTGGGAATATTTTGGTGATTGCAGGTGGCTTAGTGAACTTTATGAACTGCTATAGCAGGATACTTGTGATTGAGTAACATAAAAATCAGAGATTTATTTTTTATAATTTGCAAACTAGGAAATCCAAGATAAGGACACTAATCTTGCAAGGAAGTACCTTTTATCAGTATCATCTTATAGTAGAAGGTAAAAGGGTGGGTGGGGGAACATGTGCCAGAAAGAGGAGGACGGAAGGGGGCTGGCCCATCCCTTGGTCAGAGACCCACTCATGCTAACTAACCCACTCCCTGAAGCTTCAGTCTTTACCCAGGTGAAGGCAGAGCCCTCATGACCTAAATTACCTTGTAGCGTCCCTACCCTTCAATACTGTTGCGTTGGAGGTTAGATATTTTATGCATGAATTTAATACTCACTCAAGCTATTGCAATAGGCTTTGTAATTCCCTTAGTATCAATAATCCTTGATCATCCACTTCAAGTATAAAAGTAACAGTACAAATCACCTTTAGATCAGGGATGATACTCTAATACATAGTTTCTCTAGGCAGATAACTTAAATGAATTAAGCAAGTCAAGTTTAGGGAAGGACTATGCTCTCACTCTTACAATCTTCAAAGGGCTGGCTCTGAAAGTATATATTCCTCTATGACAAGTAACTTTGAGGTAGGCAATGTAATAGAAGTGGTTGTGATGAGAGGGAAATCAAATCAAATCTCTTTCTACTCAGATGCTGTCATGTAAAAATGTTGGTCCAAGTCTATTTATATCATTCATCTATTTTCTCAATATGAATTTTTCTCTCCTTTAAATATTGATTCACAGCCGGGCGTGGTGGCGCACGCCTTTAATCCCAGCACTCGGGAGGCAGAGGCAGGCGGATCTTTGTGAGTTCGAGGCCAGCCTGGGCTACCAAGTGAGCTCCAGGAAAGGCGCAAAGCTACACAGAGAAACCCTGTCTCGAAAAACCAAAAAAAAAAAAAAAAAAAAAAAAAAAAATATTGATTCACATTGCTGTTGTTGTTTCAAGACAAGGTTTCTCAATTTAGTCCTGTCTGTCGTGGCGCTCTCTCTGTGAATCAGGCTGGACTGGAACTCAGGGATCCACCTGCCTCTGACTCATGAGTGCTAGGATTAAAGGGCTGTGTCACCTTGTCCAGACTGACTCACATTTAAAGCTCCATATTTATGAACAAAACACATTTGTAGAACAAATACCCTTGGCTACAAGTGATTGGGTGTTGATTTTGAAATAAAATATAGTAAGTGATCTCAATCTTACTCATGTTATCTGTGCATATATAAATGTGCTTCAAAAGCCTTCACAGCTTATTGGCTCCTTCATAAACAATTCTGGGAAAGTAGATGCCAATTTACAGCCATGAGTAGAATTTGATCAGTCTTGCTGGTGGTTAGCTAGCCATCTTGGGACTATTTAGAGCATAGACACAGACACATAAGTATTGGTTTTCAAGTAGAATACAAGGGTTATTTCACCTCCAAATGTTGATAAATTACTGCCAACGTTTTATGTATCATTAAACTTCAAATTATATAGTGTTTCAGCCCATAAAAAGATTTCCAAAGTTTGTGGTTCATTTTATTTTATTTTATTTTTTGCTTTTTCATGACAATGATGCAGTATAAAAGTCTTCCAAACCATAGTAAAGATTCTGTGTTGGCATATTAAAGCTAGAATTCACATAAAAATATAACAAAATATTTCTAGATAAGTTGGAGGAACCCAAGTGATATTACCCAAATGAAAATTTACTAGAAAGGGCATTTTGTGTTTGTTTGATTCTACATTCATTGCCATTTATTTTACCTCAATTAAAAATAGTATGTGTCCTGTGACAGTTATAAAAAGAATAGTATGTTGCATACTCTCCACTCTCTATTTAAAACTAAAAGCTCATGTTTCTGTTAGAAAATTATATAATAGAGACATGTGTTATTAGGTCTTGGCAGACAGGTTCTATTTCATTCTTGTTTCTCAAGTTAAAACACACAATTTGAGAAAGCTATTACATTATTTTATAGTTTAAAAAGACAGGCAACAATTACCTGAAGTTCAGGTATTATATTGTATTAACTTAAAATTCTTGAATATTAAGAAAATTAATAATATGCTAAGGACCAAAAGATAAAAAGGCAGAGAGGAAAGAAAAAATGGGCAAATCTTGGCAAAAAATTGAGAGATTATCAAGGTATAATACTCAATCTAAAATAAAAAGTAGAGGCAGGGTGTGGTGGCATATGCCTTTAATCCCAGCACTTGAAAAGCAGAAGCAGGTAGATCTCTGGGAGTGCAAGTCCAGCCTGGTCTACATTGGGAGTTCCAGGATGGCCAGAGCTACGTAATAAAGAGACCCTGTCTCAAGAAAAAAATTAAAGATAAAAATTATGAATGGTGTCAGGGGAGAGTAAAGGAATACAGATATTTGTATTCCAGGTATTAACATCAAGTACAGATGGATATAAAAATGGAAGGGTAGAAGTATGATTTCTGTGTGGATGCCACTACACAATATTTTGAGTTTTCAACCATTTGAATGCCATCAGCACTTGGACAAAATCTTGAAATAATAGAAAAAGGACAATGCCCTGGAAACTGTGTATTAGACATATCATCACCATCTGGTCTTCGCCTAAGTATGCAGATAATAAATGATAGTACTGTCCTTGTAAGATTATGCTGGGAAGCAAAAGTAAGCAAAATATCTAGATAATTAATATAAATTAATAAATAATAATAACTACTAACATCATAGATTCAGAATTGTCCATCACAGTATTTATTCATAGACTGGCTTCATGACATCTAGGGTGGGGTGAGTTTGTTTCTCATCCTCTGTTTCTTTCTGTGTCCACTGTGCAGTTAAATACTGCTCTGATTTTCAGGCTTATCTCCAACCATCAGAGAATGGTACAGTCTTTCTGCTTCTTCCCCCTTTTCTAGGAGTTGTGAGAGACATGCCCTACTTCGGCCTTGCTTTAGTAAAAATCCATCAATTGCACCAATGCAATCAGCTCTTGTGAGCTACTTAATATTCAGTTAAATTAAGTGTTCAAATCCTTTTTCTTATCAACTCTCTATAACATTGTTAAAAGTACGTACTGTTGCTTTAAAGAACGTAATTAAATATTCTTATTTTGGATAGCTGTTTTGTTTGTTTCCTTGCTTATGATTTCTGTTACATAAATTTCACTTTGCTGAGCAACATTTTCTACATTATGTATTGCTTAGTGCTCATGAGGAAATTGCATATGGAAATTAATTTTCTCTATCAAGTACAATTGATCATTTGATTGATTCCTTCTCAACTTTGATTAAAATCTAGTTTATTTTAGAATATTAGAGAAAAATAATCACACATCCAGTTATTGTTCCTATAGGGTTGTTTTGTAGCTTAAAATTTTTACTTGTGATATCAATTATTGTTTCAAATAAATTAGGAGAGAATAATGGTTTCACAGGGTCAGATATAGATTGATATATTTTTCTTCAAAGTTATTTTTTTCTAATCTAGATAAAGAGAACATTGCTTTTAATAGAACTATAACATTTTTTCTTTAATAAAAAAGGTCCTTTTTCTAAGAAAATAACAATTTTGTAAACTCAATCAGCTGCTATTTATAATTTATGAGGGCTAGATAGAGTTCAATAGATAGGAGCACAAGCTGCTTCTGCAGAGTGTTGCCAGCACCCACACACGGAAGGGAAACTTAGAACCCCTGGACCTCCAGCTCCTGGTCTTTGTGCCTTGGCCTCTATAGACATCTACATTCCGGAGCACATACCCGCACACGGACACAGACACAAAAGTTTATAAAAATAAAAAATATAGTGTTAAAATATTAGGAGATTAGTTAACATATCTTTATGGGTGTTAATGAAACGCAAGATGTATTTTTTTTTATTTTTCAGTACTAATAAAGTAGCATATTTTATCAGTTTATTTCTTACATCACCACAGAAGATTGTGGCCTTTTTAAGAAGAATATAGATTCCCAGCACCAGGAATACAAACAGTAGAGGGAAATCTTGTGCTGGGGCCCTCCACTCCTTTCTGATTCTGGGGTCTCCAGTGTGTGAAATTTTACATGCCTTACAAACTCGAAGGCAATGCTGTATTCCATGGAGTAGACTTGAATAACAACTTGTGTGAAGAGAATAACTTAAGCTGTGTTTTGAGAGCTCATAACATATATCTCTTCCTATGTGTAAAATGTGTAATGTCAGGCTTGATGCTGTCTTGATAGCAGCCATGTCCCCAATATTTCTGTCATAGCAGTCATTAAATGCTACACATATAGGCTCTTTCTCCCCCAAAGGCTGGTTGTTTTGCTAATGCCTCACAATCTATCGGGATCTGATCTGCAACAACAGATATGAAGTGAGCTGTGTAAGGAATGATTGAACACAGGTTCTGGCCACATGTCTGCTTTTTGAATTTAGATAATGGCATAGAGAGGGACTCAATACTAATACCATGACTGGATGAGTGAGTGAGTGAGTGAGTGAGTGAGTGAGTGAGTGAGTGAGTGAATGAATACATCAGCATAATGCTGTCTTCCACACTATTCAGAGACTAGAAATATAATTCTCAAATACAGTGATCATTTGATGCTCACCAAAGCAACTTTATTTAACTGAGATTAACATAAACTTTTAAAGGTTTTTTTTAAGAAATACTTAAGCGAGTATACACACTTTTCTTAAAATTAAAATTAATGTCATACAGCAAATGAGATGGCTTCTTTGGAAACACTGTGAAAATTAGGAAATCAGGATTGTCTACTATGCTGGTTTACAGAACTACCCCTGTAGGAGACTGTTGTGATTCCATGGCACTTTCTGCTGCCAGCTGCTAGGTTTCCTTGGCTTCACACTGTCTGGATTATCCAGTTGT